TGACGACGAAAGTTAGGCTATTGTCACCTGACCTAATATTTGAAATAGTACGATTTTCAGCCAACTGCAAAGTGATTATTGTCGGTCGTAGCAAGAATGGCCGACTTATTTACGATTGTTTCAGAATGTCTTTTCGTACCATGAATATTATAGAAATTAAATTAGATCACGTGACATTTCTGCATGTCAATTAGATAATTCCATTCGTTTATCTGAGTTGAATGCAATATTCTGCAATCTGTAGGCCTAATATTGAGGTCACAGCTTATCCAATGTATAAATGAGAATGGGTATCTTGGGAAGAAAATGTAAACGTGGACACATTTCATACTTCTATCCATGTTGTTAATATTCGATGTCATTGATATAATGACATTGGAAAAAAACTAAGGAATGAATGATTCATTGCAAGAAGGGGATAGCTGAATGCGCAGCGTGCATACCGAGATAAAATATCATTCTGAGTTTTTGCAAAGTTTCGAAGGAAAGGTAAGAATCTATATTTTCTTACCTTTGCCTTCCATTTATTGTTTGAAAGACAAGGCTAGGTTCAAGGTTAAATGATTTCACCGTGATTATCGATGTTGACAATTCGAGGTCTGAATATCAACTGCCTGATGGGCGTGTCTTGTGTGGCTTTTATATTGGGTGGGTGACAGTCATACAAGTCGAGCAAAGAATTAAAACTCGAGAAATTTTGGTAATCACTGAATTATTTTAACTAATGTTTCCCGTCTCCAAAACGGAGGTGGATTCACAACCATATAATGCTCAATAGCGACTGTAGTCTCGGTCAATTACAAAGCATCCGGTCCAGGCTATTTTTCGTCGAAGCTATTATTTTTGTGTAATTAAAGCATGATAGCTCTAATATTATGCCACAATGTTAAACCAATCGAGTTTCGAAACACGTTACATAGACATGTTGCATAAGCATAAGCATTTTTTATGGCTTCTGTTGGGATGCTTTGAAGGTGAGAAATCAACTTCAATGACACCCTTAAAACAGGAACGTTTCATTTTACATCAAACTCGGATAAACAGTTATCTATCTTTTACATTTTGACATTTTCTGGAAAATCAAAATGACGGCCAAAATATCAATTATCGGCCGTAGTAATATTTCAAAGTTTCAACGACATTCACAAAACGCCCTCCCAAACTTTTGTGTATAATTCTTTTTTTCAATTGCATGCAATTTTTCTTTAAAATAGAAAATATAAAGTAGATGATTTTACATTTAAAATAAACACACTTTCCTCCCTGAAATGTCATGTGGAAATGACCCACTTGAAAAAAAATCAACCTGAAAACTCTCAGTACTATATTTCGTACAATTTCATACAAAAGTGATTGCCAACATGTAATTCTGTTGACAACTTGGTATGCAAATGTATAATTATCTTTGAATTTGATGCAAATATTCAATTTGTGGTATGCGCATTACCACTTTTCTTCTTTCTTATCCAAATTTCTGTCCATCTATATGTTCTAACACGCCTTGCATCAGTACTGTTAAGGGAACCGTGCTAGTTGCAGGGCGTTCTATCGAAGTTAAAATTTCAGAATTCGAAAATTTGTCGCAAACTTTATGGCCGAAATTTTCAATTTTTGACCAAAAAAAAGGTTGCTTTTTGTTCGATTAAATTTTTGGTGCAAATATAGATTACAAAAGTAAACAAAATGTTACAGTGAAATAGTTTGCTTCACTTCCGGTTTAAACGGGATATCGATATTTAATTTCGGCTGAATAACTTCCGTAGTAATATATGTAGGTCAATAAAATTTCCCGATCTGTAGCAAATAAAATTCTAATTAAATATTTAAATTAAAATCCCGACCGGAAGTGATTCTTTGGCCGCCATATTTGTATGACACACTTTTGTAAAACTCATAATGGGGTCTCAGGGTAATGGCCTCATTGAATGTGCGTAATTGTAAAGCAACAGCAATCGATTGCGCACAAAACACTAGGAACAGATTTTTTACTTTCGCTTTTTGCAATTTCCGGTTGAAATTTTCCAAATTTTTGAAGACGCGTAATGATGACCTTAACCTGTGGTGACCTTGATCACAGGCCATTGACATTGGCTATCAGTTGATACTTTCATATTTTACCTTATATTTTTTCGGATTCTTAATGTGCTCTTCATGTTCTTTCCGGTGATATATACCAATATAATTTTTAACAAATTTGAGATTCCTTATTTTTTAAAAATTTGAGTGTTTTTTAACATTCTCGCTACTTTAGGCTTATGACCTATATGATGCAGGAGCTTGAATTTGGAACACAACTAGACATGTTGAATAGGAGTTCAGCTATGACATACAAATTGAGGGGGGCGTGAATTACTGATTGTTTACGTTTTGCGGCAGGGGCATAACTCGCATAGGATACATTTGTTCAAAAAGGGACTTCACCATATTCAATAGGTTTCGATCGGGGTAAGCTATATGATGAGAAGGATAAACTTTAGATGTATATGCTAAAGCTAATTTCTTTTTAATATCATAACTGTTTCACCTGCAAGTTTTCTAGTATTAATTTTCTTCAATTCTATAGTAAGGATAATTGTCGTTGTTTAATTTTACTTGAACTTTACGGATTATAGGATCTTGATTTTGGTTCATCGTCACCCTGCAGATATTATTGTTATTCGTCCGAGAGTCTGGTAAGGTCTTGAAACCAACCATTAAATATCTTGCTGGTTTGATAGTATTGGTCAAGACCCTTAATCCTAATTTCTAAATAAAGTGTCTGCTCCACCCTAGGCCTGTACATTTGGGAGAATCAAACCCTCCCTTCCCCGAAATTTAATCAACATGTTAAATTATTACTGGTATATAAAGTTGGAGATTCGTCATTTCTAATTCTGCATTTGAAGCAAAAATGTCAAATGAATTTTGAATTGGATCATATATATTAAAGATTGGATCTACTCATAATTTTTATTAGCCATTTTTATGTTTAAAACTTGAATAGAAATTGTAATAGTAATTGTAAATTAAAAAATCCATTGTGGTCTGTTCTCGAAAAAGAGTTATCTCACTCTAGTTCTATTAATAACTCTGTGAATAAAACGAGGCTACATACCGGATGTTAAACTATCAAGGAAGTCATTTTGTATGTATAAAGGGATTGTTAATGTGCTCTGTATTTTTCGTTAATTATTCCATCTAATGAAGGGATTATAGGATTCTGATGAAGTTATTTTAATAGTTCAGGATGTCCAGGCGGAAGGAACTGTCTTTCAAATTGTGTTTCTGTGATGAGTGAATGTAATCTAATCTATGTTATGACCTATAAAGTCAAGTTCCTTGCATGTTTGATTCATAGGTAATGTTTCTCTATACCGATTTTGATCACACCTACAGATTCATTTTATTATTCGCACAATACTATAATACTATTGGAGTCCTACCCAGAGATGAAGATCTGCATGGATTCCATATCATTTATATTACATATCTCATCATATAATCACATCTAATTATCTTCTGTAGTAGATAAAAACCAGTTCCCCTTGTTAATTCTCCGAGACTTTCGAATACGTTTCGCTCTGAGAATTGACCTAAAAAGGGGGTATATGAAATTGAAGGTATTGACAAAAACAACAGAGACGCTTCTGTTTATTTTACGAAATTTTCGAATACTTTTCTATGGGGAATTGCTTTAAAAGGGGAAATGATACCTATACATAATTGCAATTGTTACTAGATGAATTGACCACAGACGGAAAATACGGTATTAATGACTTTATAGGTTTTCAATATGGACACTCAGTCGATCATCCCAGAAACATTCAATTTGAGAGACATTTCCAAAATTTCATATTTGAAACTGTTACAATTCTTTTTCAGTTTTTTTCCATGATTTCTTCTCGGGAAAAGACTATTACTACTTGGGCCCTGTAGTCGCATTCCATTTCTATCGGATACAGGGCCTATTCCCCACATACCACACCCATACACATACCATATAATAATATGAAAAAAGACATTACATTACACCAATACCTTCAAATCATATATCAAATCCCATTTTAAAAAATGGTCTGTTTTATATCGTTTTTTTTATTTTATATAAATAAGTTAAGTTGATTAATTCAATTGTTTGCAACAATATCCGGTTTTACACTTAATCATAAACCTGAGATAACTCTGTTTGGAAAAATGCTTCAGAGCACAGTGGATTTTTATAACCAAAAACCGTAGAGTTGTTATAAAATAAAGAAAACCACGGAATAGAGTTGAGAAATGCCTTTTCTTTTAACTATTCTTCTAGAAGAAATCATGGGAAATCCTGAAAAAGAATTTCAAAAATGTCAAACTTGTCAAATGGCTATTCAAATTGAATGTTTCTGAGATGATCGACTGAGTGTCCATAGCCGTGTTTAGACAGCCACAATTTATCCGAGTACGGTTCGGCACAAAAAGTGGCTGTGTTGAGAGGGCTCGGCACCGTGCTAGTTTCAAGTCGGCCGAGTCCCGCAAGAAGAGGTGGTATCCGGACCGAGTACGGCACGGCACGGCAAAATATTAGTGCTGTGTAAAAGCACTTCGAAGATAGAGATGGCAAACAGTGTAATGGGGTGTAGCGGTAAAAACAATTTCTAATTAATAGTTTTACCGTTTATTTAAAAACAATCATAAGTATACAATTAAAACAGATATAATACATATCACAGAAAAAAATAGCAGACGATGGTAAAGGTACATGTAAATAAGTAATGTACACGCTGAGGAAACTAACTTAATGAAATTTAGTAGTAAGAAATATTAAAGTACCTACCCTGAATAGGGGTTTTAAAGTTTGGCTGTTGCTGAGTAGAGCAGAAAAGTGCTCACCCTAAGAGTTAGCCAGTCAACAAGCCAAACTATAAGAAAGATGTAATTAGTTTTAAACTGTGTTGATTAGTAATTAGAATAGTGATAAGTGTTGTGTTTTATTCAAGTATACTTATATGATACAATCTGAACTTTTAGTTTAAAACCTATGTTCAATTAACTCTGCTACATACTCCCTTCTCTTGGGAAATGTCGCCTGGACATTCTACAAAAAAATATATAATAATATCAATTAAATAAGCAGATAAAATAATTATGTTGTCAAAATCCACCACCAAACCAAACTTTTAAAACAATCTTATCGACTAAAAACCAAAATCAGACTTTAACACACTGGTTATATTATTTCGTTTATCCAAAGGAAGTTCCATAAAATCGTCTGACAACAACAATTTCAAAACTGCAGGTGGACAACGTTCAACTGAAGTAGTTGAAGTTTGAGCCATGACATAGTCTTGATACCTAATAGGTGATCGTCTTTCTCTTGAAGGTCGACTGAAACTAGTTTGATCGTCATCTGCAGATGAACTTGATGAAGCAGAGAACACTTCACCAGGATCTTCTTCCTCTGAGGCAGTATTAATGGGGCTAGCAGCGGAACCGAACACATCGTTTCCATCCACTAAAACAACCTCCGTATCTGACTCCGAACTCTTCTTCTTGAACTTCAGTGGCTGGGGTTCTTGTTCTCCTAGCTTTTGGTGGAGCTGGCTTACTATTAGGAACATCCATAAAAATAGATCCAATTGGCAACAAATGGTTTCTATGCAATGCAACGTTAAACCTCTACTAGCATATGCTATAACCCTATGAATTGCCATGTCCATCTTCCCTCTCTAAAACATAAACTGGAACATCAGTATTTGGTTTATCTAGTATGACATATACAGGCCTCTCCCATCTATAAGAAATCTTATGCCTTCCTTCCTTAAAGTGCAAACGTTTAACTAAAACACGATCTCCTTTCTCAAGGACAGAATGCTTAGCACGTTGGTCATAGTTTTTCTTTTGCTGGTCCTGACTCTTCGTTATATTGGCAGAGGCTTGTTGGTAAGCTGATTCAAGAGAATATTTCAATTCTGTCACATACTTGCCATAAGAATTAGATGATTCTTGATTGTACAAACCAAGGATCACATCAATAGCCAGGAACGGTTTTCTGCCAAACAAAAGATAAAACGGTGAATATCCTGTCGATTCGTGTTTGGTATAATTGTAAGCATGAACTAAAGCAGGCAACTCTTTCTTCCAATTAGGCAGATGGTATGGGGTTGTTCGAGACTTCTGCATCCCGGAAAGTTCGCAAAGCCCCTGGATAATCTTGTTCTCAAAACTCCCTCCTTTGTCGCTGTGGATGCGTTTTGGGAATCCATAGTGTGCAATGAAATGTTCGTAAAATACCTTTGCTGTTGTTGCTGCTGTCATATTTCTGGTTGCAATTGCTTGGGCATATCTGGTAAAATGATCCGTGATTACTAAAATATAGGAGTATCCTCCCTTGGATTCCTCTAAACAAAGGTAATCCATGCTCACCAGTTCCATAGGTTGGCTTGTCTTAATGCTGACTAATGGGACCCTGCTGTTAATTGAAGTTTTTCGCATTATACATCTTGGACCCCTCTTAATGTACTCTTTTACCTCCGTATTCATCCTGGGCTCGCTCCTTCAATAGGGCTAAAGATCTTTCCCTTCCCAAAGTGACCTACATCATCGTGCAATCCTTTCAACGCCGTCTCTCGATCAAGTTTTGGTAAAACAAGTTGGTGTGCAACATCCCCACCTATCAACGTTTTACAATATAGAACATCAGACCTGATAACAAGATGATCGCATTCTCTCAACAAAACAGTTTCTTCTTGAGTCGTAGGCGAAATCTTATACTTTCCTTGATTTTTAACGGCAGCATATATAGGACCGATGATAGGATCACCCTGTTGCTTCTTCATCCAGTCAATGTTGTTTACTGGGAATTGTGATTGAAGATGTAAATCAGGTATTACTTGCGTTGCAAAGCAGTTGATGAATCCTACTTCAACTTTGAAATCCTGTAGTGCCTTTATCACTTCCTTAGTCAACTCCTTGTACTCTGTCTTCGGACTAGCAGGAATCCTAGATAGACAATCAGCATCAGTGTTTCGTTTGCCTGGTCGGTACTTGATGTTAAAATTATAGTTTGCTAATTCCGCAAGCCAGCGATGTCCAGTGGCGTCTAGTTTTGCAGATGTTAAAATATATGTTAGCGGATTATCATCTGTGAATACTGTGAAATAATTTCCATAGAGGTCCTTAAATTTGTCCGTAATTGCCCATTTTAACGCTAGGAATTCGAGTTTGTGAGCCGGATAGTTTCGTTCCGATTTCGTTTAACCTCTACTAGCATATGCTATAACCCTATCCTCCTGATGTTGATAAATAACGGCCCAAAGGCCACGTCCACTCGCATCAGTATGTACAATATACGGCTTTGTTTGATCGGGATATCCTTCAAAGTGAATCCTTCAATTGATAAAAGGCCAATTCCTGTTCCTTGTCCCATTTCCAAACTGAAGATTGAATAACCTTTTCCCCCTCTTTGAAATTGGTCCACCAATTAACAGTAAGTTCATTTAGGGGCTTTGCAATCGACGAAAAATTCTTAACCAATCTGCGGTAATATCCTACAAATCCAAGGAATCGTCTTACTTCATCAGTATTTGTAGGCGTCTTCCAATCTTGATCAATCTTCATTGGATCGGTTTTATGCCCTCTGCAGATACGATGTGCCCTAGGTATTTAACCTCTTGTTGAAAGAAATTGCACTTCTTGGGAGCTAGTTTCAAACCACATTCTTTGAAATACTTGACGAAGCCTTTCAAGATGTTGTTCGTAAGAATTGGAAAATATGATCAAATCATCTTCATAAATCATGCAAATTTTAAGATTCAATTCTCCCAGACACTCCTCCATTAGTTGCAGGTGCGTTCGATAGGCCGAATGACATGCGTGTATACTCGTAAAAACCCAAAAGGTCCTACAGTAAATGCCGTCTTTTCCTTGTCACATTCCCGTAGCGCCATCTGGTGATAACCCGATTTCATATCTAAGACGGTGAAATATCGAGCAACTGCCATGTTCTCAAGAAGCTCTTCGATCCTAGGTAATGCATACGCATCCTTAATGGTCCGATTATTGAGCTGACGAAAATCGACACATAGTCTTAAACTACCATTTTTCTTTCGAACTAAAACAATATTAGATTCGATTAGTGTGATTTCTGTATAATACCACATGACAAAAGATCTTGAAGATGGTTCTGGACCTCTTGATACATATTATATGGAATCCTTCGGTGCTTCTGCTTAAATGGCATTTCATTAGTCAAGCGTATTTCATGCTCAACCATATGGGTACAACCAACATCTGTATCGCTACCACTAAATATGTGAGACCAATCATCAATAAAGTCCTTAATTCCCACTTATTGATCCTCTGCTAACGCTTATTCAGTAAAATCTATTTTCGACAAAATATTTTCAGAGTGAGTTGGCAAAATTTTCTCTCCAATAGCTTGATTTAAAATCGTAACAGGCTGAACTTCAAAAATGATCCAAGGTTCCAAGGAGAATAGGTGTTGTATAATGAAAATGTGTATCAGGTACTATGAGAAACATACAAGGTATAGGTTCAGTCATAAGTTTAGGTACTTCAATACTGACTTCAATTACTCCTGAATAAGGTAGTTAATGTCCTCCAGCTGATTCTATGTTAATGACAGAATTTAAAGCTTCCAGTTGACAAACTGATTTCAAATGTTTGTCATAAAACCAATAAGCAATCGTAGAAACTTGCGATCCAGCATCAAGTAATGCTGATGTTCGAACGTTATTTACAAGCATCTGTGCTTCATTACTGTTTCCAATAACAGGGCCGAGTTTGCTCCCACCTAGTATCTGCCCTTGATACCTCTTGATCCTCTTTCTTGAGCTTAACTCGACAACCAGATCTTTCATGTCCTTTTTTTGCCCACATCGAAAACAAGTTGGTTCGTCTGTCACAAACTTTTTTTCCTGCGTCTTATTTTCCTTCAACTGATTTATATCCTTTTGAAGACATTGCAAGGTTGCAGTCATCGTAGCCATCATATTCCTAAATTCATCTTGCTCTTCTGAAATCATCTTTACCTGAACTGTTTTCTATTTAGTGCCACATGCCAAATCTGACTCAATCTTTCTAACTTCTATCAATAATTCCTCGTAATCTTTTATCCTATCATATTTATGGGCAGATCCAAGCTTAAGTTCTTTTTCCAAACCGTTATAAAATCGAGTCCGAAGCATATCGTTCGCAGCTAATTTTGATACTTCATTTCTATCAATAGCCTTTTGCAAAATATCCTCCAACCTGCAACCCCATTCGTCGACCGATTCTTTAGGCTTCTGGGTTGTTGAGTAAAATTAAACCAGAAGATCCTGAGTCTCTTCTACCCTTCCAAAGATTCCATTTAGTTAGCTAATAAGCCTTGACAAGCTTACGTCATGTCCTAAACGCATAAGTACTCTACCAGCTTCTTCACGTAGTGATTTGATAACAGCATGTCTGATGGCATCTTTACTAAAAGTAGATCGCTGGAGTTCCTCAACCTCAAATTTCCAGACATCGAACGAGGCATCAGATTTAGATGAAGAGTCTCCTGAAAAGAACGGAATTTTGGGTAAGGATGCTGTAGCAACCATTCTCTCCGTTGATGATTCAGCGTTTCCAGCTGCTTTCGATGATGACCGTCCAAAATCCTTCATCCATCGCAGTAGGTCCTCCTTCGAATCAGTTTTCGGCTTTACTCTAAGTGACGCAAAGGCTTGCAAAAGTAGGCCACACAAAACCGAAGAAATGAACAAACAAACAAACAAACAAACAAACAAAAAAAAAATCCAAACTCCAAATTTAACTAAACTAAATTCAAATCCCAAACTCAACTACAATAAACCAATAATTCGCAAAAAAACAGTTTCCAACTACCAAAAATCGAAAAAGACAAAAAACAAACTCCAAAAGGTCAAACTACAAAATGAATGCACTCAATATCCATATAAACCAACCAAATCAACTAAAATTCAATTCAGAAATTACGGACTGAAAAATAAATATTAATTTCTCCCTGAAAAGAGAAAACAAAATTATATACACAAACTACAAAAAACATAATACCGCTAACCTCGGAGGGGGGTCGATGGAAATAAATAGCACTTATATCATACATGTATTTAAATGTTGTGAATGTGAATATTAAATATATACTAAGTGTATGCAAAAACTGAAACAGAAATATTAATAAAGTAAGGGAGGGGCAAACTGAAAATCCGAAAAAGGAAATGAAATGATAGACAACTAGTAAAGCAGAAAATCGCGACTTGACAAAAGTTATGCGTATTCCCTACTCCCTATATTGATTTCCAGTTGTCGGTGATAAGAGCTCTCCAATAACTAAACCTCTGGTTCCGTGATGATGATATAACTATAACATAACTTATCTCCAGACACGTTGGGCGCCAAATGTAATGGGGTGTAGCGGTATAAACAATTTCTAATTAATAGTTTTACCGTTTATTTAAAAACCCTGAAATATATATTGACTTTATAGGTCAAAACACAGACATAGTAAATCATTACAGAAACACAGTTTGAAAGACACTTTCCTCTGTCCAACATCTTGAACTATTAAAATAACTTAATCAGAATCCTATTATCCCTTCATTAGGTGGAATAATTAACGAAAAATACAGAGCACATTAAAAATCCCTTTATACATATCACGATAGCTTGCCAGGCAAGGTAATATACGCCCACTGGC